ACAACAAGTGTGTCTGAGTGTTAAAATAATCATGAGGCAGAAAATATCTAGTAAAACATGATATCTGGTAAGTAGTTTTAACACACAAGGTTTGATTTTCTCTGATAGAACTGTTTTGGGAGTGGTTATCATTATCAAATAAAATTATAATGCTCCAGTATATAATAATGTTCTCATTTAATATGTGAGACTCTGTGTTAAGTTTCAAGTTGAACTCGTAAAACAAGATTCTTGCATAAAAAACTGGGCACGCAAATATAAATTAATAAAGTAGAAAAGATGCATCTCCTCACATTGAACTGAACTTTTTAGCTCACCTGAGCAATGCTCAGGGTGAGCTATTGTGATGGCCCTGTGTCCGTCGTGCGTCATGCGTCGTCAACTTTTGACATTAACAACATCTCTGAAACCAATGAGTGCACATCAACCAAACTTTTCAGAAATGATCCTTGGGTGGTCCCCTTTCAAAAGTGTTCAAATGGTTCTGGTCTGTTGCATATGTAGGTCATAGGGCCAGAAAAGGATTTCAAAAAACACAAAATTAAAAAATCTTCTTTTCTGAAAGTACATGGGCCAAAGCTTTGATTTTTGGTATATGGTATCATCTATGGGTCCTCTACCAAAGTTGTTCAAATTTTGTCCCTCTGAGTGTCAAAATTGGCCCCGAGCGGGGTCATAGGTTTTTCCTTATATGTATATAGTAAAATCTAAAAAAATCTTCTTAACTGATTTGGCAAAGGCTACAGATTAGATATTTGGCATGAAACATTGTGTAGTAGACCTCTATGAAGATTGTTAAAATAATGGCCCTAGGGTAAAAATTGGCCCGCCCCGGGGGGTCATTGATTTTCATTACATACATATAGTGAAAACTTGTAAAATCTTCTGGTCTGAAAGTAAATGGCCTAGAGCTTTGATATTTGGTCTATGGTATCATCTGAAGGTCTAATACCAAAGTTGTACAAATTTTGTCCCTAGTGTCAAAATTGGCCCCACCCCGGGGGGTCATAGGTTTTTCTAATATGTATATAGTAAAACATAAAAAAATCTTCTTCTCTGAATTGGCAAAGGCTACAGGTAAGATATTTGGCATGAAACATTGTGTGGTAGACCTCTACCAAGATTGTTCAAATAATGGCCGTCGGGTCAAAATTGGCCCCGCCCTCGGGGGTCATTGATTTTCATTATATACATATAGTGAAAACTTGAAAAATCTTCTTGTCTGAAAGTAAATGGCCTAGAGCTTTGATATTTGGTCTATGGTATCATCTATAGGTCCAAAACCAAAGTTGTTCAAATTTTGTTCCTAGAATTAAAATCGGCCCCGCCCCAAGGGGTCATTGATTTTTCCTATATGCATATAGTAAAAACTTAAAAATCTTCTTTAAAAGAACCCAAAGAGCTAGAGCTAAGATATTTAGCATGAAACATTTTCTAATGGGTGTCTACCAAGTTTGTTCAAATAAGAGCCCTGGGGTCAAAATTGGCCCCGCCCAAGGGGGTCATTGATTTTCCCTATATGAATATAGTAAAAACTTAAAAATCTTCTTTTTCAAACCCAAAGAGCTAGAGCTAAGATATTTAGCATGAAACATGTTCTAATGGATGTCCACAAAGTTTGTTCAAATAAGAGCCCTGGGGTCAAAATTGGCCCGGCCCCGGGGACATTGATTTTCCTTATATGTGTATAGCAAAAACTTAAAAATCTTCTTCGAAAAAACCCGAATAGCTAGAGTTTAGATAATAAGCATGAATCATCTTCTAGTAAGTGTCTACAAAGATTGTTCAAATAAAAGCCCTGGGGTCAAAACTGGCCCTGCCCCAGGGGTGTCATTGTTTTTAAATATATGTATAAGTAAAAAACTGAAAAAATCTTCTTTTAAAAAATTTAACCCAACGAGCTAGACCTTTGATGTTTAGCATGAAACATCTTCTAATGGGTGTTTACCAAGTTTGTTCAAATAAAAGCCCTTGGGTTTAAACTGGCCCCGCTCCGGGGGACCTATATACAGGTGAGTGACTTCAGGGCCATCATGGCCCTCTTGTTTAAAAAGTGCAATGATTATTGTAGTAGGAAGAAAGTACATGTATATTAGGAGAGTCATTTCTATCCTCCAAGTTTAACAAGGCTCTGACTTTGGTCTTGCACATGACACACTATCTGACTAAAATGAATACATATGCCAAGCAATCTGTCAATCCATTAAGTAATAAGGCAAACAGGATTTGACCTTTGACCTCCAATAATGACCTTGACCTTGAAAATGCAGACATGAGTCTTGCATGCCACAAAATTAGTCGGACTATGGTCACAGACATAAGCCAAATATTTCAACTTTACAGAATCACCTTTGTTACCACGTAAAAATTTCTTATTAAAGTTATGCATGTGTGTACCTTGCAACTTAAAACAAATGTTGTCATTTTTATGACATCACTGACCCGACCAAGACTAATACTAGGTCTAGCATGTATTATTACTGAATAGTGAAAAAGCACAGTTAATTTAACCTTTGACAAATTAGCCAGTGGCAATGTTTATGCTATGACCACTTAACCATGTGGCCAAATGGTTACTGGTCAGGCTAGTAATCTAAGAATTGCTAGCCGTTGGGGGTTTTTAAACCCTGTCAGGGGCAACTGTTGTTTCCTTGAGAAACTTTACACCAATTGCTTAGTACTGGTTGGTTCTAGGAACAGATTCGAGAATGTTTCAATAAGTCATTATAGCTTCCAACATAATTGCAATGTTCTGTATTGTTAACATGTTTGCATATTTGAAAATAAAAATTATTGTTTGGATGACTTGTTTTTCAGATACTCACATGAAAGTTAGAAAGATGAAGATTTAATCTAAAAAATGATAAAATTTTATGTTTTCAAAAATCCATTACTACATCATGATAATGTTTATGAATGGAGTTTCTGTTACAGTGAAATTTCACACAGCAGCATAAAACAATGATGGCTTGATTAATTTAAAAGCAAACTATAATTTATGGTATCATACGGAGCCCCTAAGGTGACATTCTCGACACTTTTCTCCCGGCATTTAATTCGTTTTTACGAAATATTAATTCGTAATTACGAAATATCAATTCGTTTTTACGAAATATTAATTCGTTTTTACGAAATATTATTTCGTAATTACGAAATATTAATTCGTTAAAACGAAATGTTATTTCGTAATTACGAAATATCAATTCGTTTTTACGAAATATTAATTCGTATTTACGAAATATTAATTCGTTTTTACGAAATGTTATTTCGTAATTACGAAATATTATTTCGTTACTACGAAATATTAATTCGTAAAAACGAAATGTTATTTCGTAATTACGAAATATTAATTCGTTTTTACGAAATCTTATTTAAGGTCATTTTGTGCTTAATAAAGAACTTATTAATCTCACAAATGGGTCATTTACATGCCTTGATCAACTTTGCGATTATAAGCCGAATGGTTCGCAAGTTATTATATTTAAGTGAACAAGGTTTTTGTGTGAGAAGTCATTCTCTATCCAAAATGGTCTTTTTTTCCCATTGTCAAATACATGTTCCTATCAGCAATGTTTTAATGTTTGAGGCAAAATTTTACGACATGTATCTTTAAAACAGAAACATGCTATATTATTCCGTTCTTTTATCATATACATTAGTAAAACTAATGGGACGAGGGGTGGGGGGGGGGTCCAGACTTTCACTAATCTAATCAAGTTAAAATGAATATTTCCTCACAATTTATTATTAGAAATGTCCGTGTTTGGATTTGAAGCACAGGACCCCCATTTTAAGTAAATTTTCCTAGCCCGTGTACTATCACGGCTGTGGCTCAACGCTATTGACATGCGATTATTTTAATTTATATACAATAGTGTAAATTTTAAAAACTTGGGGAGAACAAAAATCACTATCTATATTACATGTACATGCCTTATATTAAGTCAGGAACTAAGTTTTGAGGCCTTATTTATAACTATTACCAAAACCCTTTGAAACGCTAGAAAAAATTTAATTCGTTTTTACGAAATATTATTTCGTATTTACGAATTATTATTTCGTAATTACGAAATAACATTTCGTTTTTACAAATTAATATTTCGTAATTACGAAATAATATTCCGTAATTACGAATTAATATTTCGTAAAAACGAATTAATATTTCGTAATTACGAAATAATATTTCGTAAAAACGAATTAATATTTCGTAATTACGAATTAATATTTCGTTTTTACGAAATAATATTTCGTAAAAACGAATTAATATTTCGTAATTACGAAATAATATTTCGTAATTACGAATTAATATTTCGTTATTACGAATTAATATTTCGTTATTACGAATTAATATTTCGTAAAAACGAATTAATATTTCGTATTTACGAATTAATATTTCGTAATTACGAATTATTATTTCGTAAAAACGAATTAAATTCCGGGGATAAAAGTGTGGAAAATGTCATCTTAGGGGCTCCGTAGTATCAGGCACAGAATTTTTATCCAATTATTTTCATGAGTTGCAATTATCAATGTTTATGAATGGTATTTGTCAGAAACAGTTTCAGGGAAAATCTTCCAGGGAAACTTGATTTATCTGCTTAATGTGTTTTATGAAAGAAATTTTTTTTCCTTCAGGTTATTACAGTTGTAATAGACAGCCATAAATAAATAATTGTCAAAGATTAATATCCTGCATTCATTCTACCTACTGACCCATATTTTGGATATATTTGAGATCATGATTTTGAAAGAACTTCAGACCAACAATTAGATGCTTTGTTTAAGTATTCTTTGGTCATAATCAGCAATAATTCTAGCCAGAACAATGAACAAGCATTAAACTTCTATGTTTCTAAGACAGTGAACAATATAATATTGGGGCCCGAAACCACTAGAAACCATCTAAACAACTAGGAAACTAGTATTCATAAAGGTATTAAAGTGATAAATAGTATATCAAACATATTTGTTGAATTAGAGAACCTTAACTATGAACTTAGATTTAGATAGATGTGCAAAGGAAGGATGTTTATGGCAGCCAGCACTAATCTGGGTGGGCCTTAATATTAGTATCACAGCACTGGGCTCTGCTTTGGTTGTATATTTACAGGTAAGTCGATAGTCATTCACATGTTTAAAATTTATCAGAAATCTACATCAAAATTTATATATTAATTAAAGAAATGATGTATCCCAAATAGTGATTTTATCGCTAAATGAAATCACTGTTTGGAGCTTGGATGCGAGGAATTACTCTACGATGGTATAATGATGCGTATGGAATTGATAAACAGTGATTTTTTCAAGCGACTAAATCACTAATTTGGATATATTTCGATTCTAATACGACATCAACAAATAAATGCTGCCATACCTAATATTTAGCTAAATTGCGTCTGATTTGTTTCCTTAATTATTTTAAGCGCTTCACATTTATAATGGTTACCATAGAATCACAAGAGTGATTTTATTGCATAATAACACACTTTCGGTCCTTATGTGTTCAATAGGGAAAAATGCATTTCGTGTTAGAATTTCTCTTGATTGTTTTATTAGTTGGTTTTTGTTGTTTTTTTGTGTGCATGTTAAAATGTGCTATATATGCAACAGTAGCCTACAGTCTTTTACATTACATTATGCAGGGATTAATAGCTTCTTTTATTAAAGGATATATTTTCATAAAAGAATTCTAAAGTTACCCAGGAATTTAAGGAGGGGTATTTTTACCAATCTTAAACAAATATGATTGTGTATTAGCAGACTTGAACTACTATAAGAATCCTACATCCCCTTTTCATCAGTGACTTTACAAAGATTTACCTTCAATAACTGACATTCTTGTCTTAGGAAAATTGAATTTTTAAATGAAAGCTTGCAATTGCATGTTTGCAGATTTCATTATTGATGCACCTTCAAAATTGCTATATTGGTTTTGGTAATTGTATACAGAATCTGTCAGTTCTATATCAGTCTACAGTTTGTAAACACTCATTCTGAGAATTGATAACATGTAGTCTTATTTTTGACATGCACTTGAAAAAGCTTTTACCACAAATTGCTTAGAAACAAGCAGTTGCACAAATTTTGCTCTGGTTTTCATTTGTTCATAACTTGTGTCTTCCTGTTTTGAAGAATATTTTCTTTCATTTGAATTTGTAAATTTCTTTAAATGTTGTCTTCATTATCAGACTAAAATAGATGATGTATGTAATCATTTTGGTAATATTCTCCCATATATCATATTGCCAAACCATATAACTAATATAATAGATAATGTATGTAATCATTCTTGTAATATTCTCTCATATATCATGTCAGCAAACTATGTAACTAATATCACAGATAATGTATGTGATCATCCTGGTAATATTCTCCCATATATCCTATTGCCAAACCATATAACTAATATAATAGATAATGTATGTAATCATTCTTGTAATATTCTCTCATATATCCTGTCAGCAAACCATATATAACTAATATCACAGATGATGTATGTAATCATTCTGGTAATATTCTCCCATATATCCTATTGCCAAACCATATAACTAATATAATAGATAATGTATGTAATCATTCTTGTAATATTCTCTCATATATCCTGTCGGCAAACCATATATAACTAATATCACAGATGATGTACAGGGCTCCAGATAATTTTTTAGGGCAATGAGTATTTACTCATTGATTTTTTTGTGAATGAGTAAAACTTGAAATCTGAAATTTGACAGGAGTATTTTTACTCCTTAAAATGTATGTAAAAGAGTAAAAGATTTATTATGCTTCCATGTTTATTGTATTATTATACGTGTAATACAAGATATGTCAAAGTCATTTCTTTTGCTTTTTGGACTCTCTTGGTTTATAATCTTGCATTTCCAAACGGCATACGTTTTATCTGAACCTGAGGCATGTTTCTGTTGCTCATACGTGGCAGCGCTAATTATTTCATTAATTATAACCGTCACAATTACTTTTGGGTCGATTTTTTTGCGGCTGAAAATACGAGTCAATCGTTTTAACTTTAGACAGCGACATTGTACCGGTTAATTCCACCACCTTACTATACATACGCTAACAACCGATGATAGTCGGAACTACAGGAAGTAACCGTTAGACGTTGCAAAGCATTCATCCGAAGTTAATTCCACCACCATACTATGCATACGATAACAACCGATGATGGTCGGAAATACAGGAAGTTACCGGTAGACGCTTGCAAAGCGTTCAGGCGAAATTGAAAATAAAATAATCACCGAGTTTACTTTCGGTTACGTTTACGCGAAAGAAATGTTGCTCAATGCGTAACCTGAATTTTGTGTGCGTTTTCATACGCTTAAATTTTGTTTTGAATGCGTAAACGGGTTATTTCCATGCGTAATTTACGCGTATACGCATCTTATCTGGAGCCCTGGATGTATGTAATCATTCTGGTAATATTCTCCCATATATCATATTGTCAAACCATATAACCAATATAATAGATAATGTATGTAATCATTCTTGTAATATTCTCTCATATATCCTGTCAGCAAACCATATATAACTAATATCACAGATGATGTATGTAATCATTCTGGTAATATTCTCCCATATATCCTATTGCCAAACCATATAACTAATATAATAGATAATGTATGTAATCATTCTTGTAATATTCTCTCATATATCCTGTCAGCAAACCATATATAACTAATATCACAGATGATGTATGTAATCATTCTTGTAATATTCTCTCATATATCCTGTCAGCAAACCATATATAACTAATATCACAGATAATGTATGTGATCATTCTGGTAATATTCTCTCATATATCCTATTAGCAAACCATATATAACTAATATCATAGAATGATGTATGTGATCATTCTTGTAATATTCTCTCATATATCCTGTCAGCAAACCATATATAACTAATATCACAGATAATGTATGTGATCATTCTGGTAATATTCTCTCATATATCATGTCAGCAAACTATGTAACTAATATCACAGATAATGTATGTGATCATCCTGGTAATATTCTCCCATATATTCTATCAGCAAACTATATATAACTAATATAGATAATATGTGTGATCATTCTGGTTATAATTTCTCCCATATATCCTGTCAGCAAACTATATATAACTAATATAGATAATATGTGTGATCATTCTGGTTATAATTTCTCCCATATATCCTGTCAGCAAACTATATATAATTAATATAGATAATATGTGTGATCATTCTGGTTATAATTTCTCCCATATATCCTGTCAGCAAACTATATATAACTAATATCATAGATAATGTATGTGATATGTTAAATGAATGCTGGTTTTTATGAGGTCATATTTTATTTTTTCAGCCATTAGCTGCTGGTAGTGGTGTACCATATATAAAATCATATTTGAATGGGGTCAAAATTCCAGGATTGCTCACACTAGAATGTTTTGTTGCAAAGGTTGGAGGTGTTGTTATGTCTATTCTTGGAGGTCTTGCCTGTGGGAAGGTATGTTTTTACATGATTATCTCATACAATGTAAACTTAATTATTTAAGTATATAATTCTAAGAAGACAACTGTTAAAATCCCCAGAATTTCTTTCCTTTTAACTTAGCTTTGACAGTAAAGATTATACATTGTATTAGGTTTTTCAAAATCTTATTATGTTGACCATGATTATAGAGTGTAAGCAAACATTAAAATAGCATCTTATGGCCTTTCTTGATTTACAAAGATTATTTTCCTAATCAGTAGACTAGCTGTTGCCCTGAAAACTCTTTTTATTCTTGAAAGAAAACTATACCGTATATATTTCTAATGTTTCTATGCTGTCATGTGTAAACTCAAAAGTTCTTTCATGAATAGGTTTGAATGCTATATTTTAGCAGGCTTGTATTTCAGAAATGAATAAAAAACAACAAAATTTGTATAATTTAGATATATGCTATCTAGACATACCTCAGATATTGTCATACAGTATAATATGTAGATAATGTTTTATTACAGGAAGGACCTATGGCTCACTCAGGAAGTATTATTGCTGCTGCACTAGCTAAAGGCAGGGTTAGATTATTGTGCAGGAAAAAACGAGCATCAGTAAGTTTTTATGTTCTTACATTTACATTTTTACCGCAACTAATCCAAAAATAGAATATACTCAATATGTCATTAAATCTAATTCTTAGTCGGCTGGTGGAAACAGATTTTACCCATTTCATCTGACCATGGTCTGCACTGTTCACTATTTAGTCAGAAAATGTTTTGAAATTTCCCTTAGAATAATGAATGGTAAAAATTTGCCCAGACTGAAAAATGGTCAAGTCCATATAAGATATATTTTATATATTTTCTTGAGTATTATAGGTATTTACTTAAAACACATGTCTTTATATTGATAGCACAATACGTAAAAGATAAATATTTGAGTGACCATTAACATGCTTTTTTCAAGAGTTGTCTTTGAAGACGAGGTCATTTTTATCATTTTTAGCTCACCTGAGCATGCTCAGGGTGAGCTTTTAGGATCGATGATTGTCCGTCGTCCGTTGTCCGTCCGTCGTCCGTTCACATTTAGTTGTTAACACTCTAGCGGTCACATTTTTGCCTCAATCATCATCAAACTTGGTCAGGATGCTTATCTAGTTGATAGCTCGGATGAGTTCGAACATGGGTCATCTCGGATGAGAAACTAGGTCACAAGAGCTAAAAATAGAAAAACCTTGTTAACACTCTAGAGGTCACATTTTTGCCTCAATCATCATCAAACTTGGTCAGGATGTTTGTCTAGGTGATAGCTCGGATGAGTTCTAACATGGGTCATCTCGGATGAAAAAGTAGGTCACCGGAGCTAAAAATAGAAAAACCTTGTTAACACTCTAGCGGTCACATTTTTGCATCAATCATCATCAAACTTGGTCAGGATGTTTGTCTAGTTGATAGCTCGGATGAGTTCGAACATGGGTCATCTCGGATGAAAAAGTAGGTCACCGAGCTAAAATAGAAAAACCTTGTTAACACTCTAGTTGGTCACATTTTTTGCATCAATCATCATCAAACTTTGGTCAGGATGCTTATCTAGTTGATAGCTGAGATGAGTTCGAACATGGGTCATCTCGGATGAAAAAGTAGGTCACCGGAGCTAAAAATAGAAAAAAACTTGTTAACACTCTAGCAGTCACATTTTTGCATCAGTCATCATCAAACTTGGTCAAGATGCTTGTCTAGTGAAAGCTCGGATGAGTTCGAACATGGGTCATCTCGGATGAAAAACTAGGTCACCAGAGCTAAAAATAGAAAAACCATTGTTAACACTCTAGAGGTCACAATTTTGCCTCAATCATCATCAAACTTGGTCAGGAATGCTTATCTAGTTGATAGCTCGGATGAGTTCGAACATGGGTCATCTCGGATGAGAAACTAGGTCACCGGAGCTAAAAAATAGAAAAACCTTGTTAACACCTAGCGGTCACATTTTTTGCATCAATCATCATCAAACTTGGTCAAAAATGCTTGTCTAGGTGATAGCTCGGATGAGTTTGAACATGGGTCAGCTCGGATGAAAAACTAGGTCACAGGAGCTAAAAATAGAAAAACCTTGTTAACACTCTAGTGGTCACAATTTTGACTCAATTGTCATCAAACTTGGTCAGGAAACTTGTCTTTTAGGTCATTGCTGGGAATAAATCAAACATGGGTCATCTCGGATGAAAACTAGGTCACAGGAGCTAAAAATAGAAAAATCTTGTTAACCCTCTTAACTGTTGTGATCCAAATATTCTGTTCATTCTAACATTCTAGTGGTCACATTTTCAACTCAATTATCATCAAACTTGGTCAGGATGCTTGTCTAGGTAATTGCTTGGAGGAGTTCGAAATCACATGTGAAACTAGGTCACCGGAGCTAAAAATAGAAAAATCTTGTTAACACTCTAGTTGCTACTGTTTTGATCCAAGTATCCTGGAAATTGGTCTAAAAGTTTGTTTTGATGATTTCTAGGTCAAGTTTGAATATGTGTCACCTGGGTAAAAAACTAGGTCGCACTGCTCAAATATGGATAATCCTTGTTAACACTGTAGTGGTCACATTTTTGACTCACCTGTCATGAGACTTGGTCAGAATGCTTGTCTAGGTAATTGTTTGGATGAGTTTGATAAGTCAGGTGAGCGATCTAGGGCCATCATAGCCCTCTTGTTTATATAATATTACCTTAAATCATCTATACTTACAAGTTAGAGAAGTCTCAAAATACTTGATCTTGATTAAAAAAATGCTTACACATCATACATGATAACAAGAGTTCAGGAAAATATTTTAATCAATAATTTTTTGTACTATTTTAAGAATGTATTATTCCTGAAAGATATGTCTATTTATTTAAAGAAATAAAAAAAAAAGTACAATTTTATATGATTTTAACAACCATTATAAGGGAATTCATTTACAATTACAATTTGTAAAGTGTAATAAATTTGAAAGAAATTTAAGATAACAATATTTGACTTGTGTTACAGATATATTCAGGTTTTCGAGATGATCATGAAATCCGAGATTTTGTGTCAGGTGGCGCTGCATCAGGTGTGTCTGCAGCATTTGGGGCACCAGTAGGTGGTACCCTGTTCTCTGTGGAGGAAGCTGCTAGTTTCTGGAGTCAGTCATTGACCTGGAGAGTGGTGAGTTTATTCATACATGTGAACTCTCCCACTTTTAGCGGGAGACTCACACTTTCTGCAGCCATATTTTCAAAGATTTTTTTAAAGTAAGGGGTATTAGAAATCTCCCTCTTTTTGATATCCAAACTTTCTTCTTTGATTATTGTAAATTCTAAAAACTCCCTCTTTTTGAAGAAAAATCTCCCACTTGATCATCGAAAAAAGTTCACATGTATGGTTTATTCTAGAATACAATATGAAAATAGTACATTGTTATTGCTATTAAAATTTGGCACATTATGCCTCAAAAATAAGAATAAATTTTTCAATCTTTAGAAAGGGCACATGTCAGGTTTCTAACATTTCAAAAATGGTTTTAGGGCATGTTAGATGAATATCACCTGAAGAAAGAAGCAGTGATTGTGAAATAATCTGTAGTAAATGTATCAAAATGTAAACAAACCGGTATTTTGACTTTCATACAAAAAACTTAATCACTATAACTGTACTAATTGCCAAAGGGCAACAGAAGCAAAAGATGGTTAAACTGTCCATTTTTAAAAAAAATCAAAAAAAACTTACTACAGTAAAAACTCTGAAAACCGGAATCCTCTGAAAACCGGACCATTTCAAAAGTCCCGTATTTTCTCCTTATATGTTCATTGAAAAAAAATCCTCTGAATTCCGAAAACCGGACGATTTTCTATGGCATCTAATGCTAAACATGCATAAAAAATCCTCTGAAAACCGGACAGCAATTTTAAGTGTCAACTTTGTGTGTATTTTAATGTATATTAAAACATAATCTTATCAGGTGACATGTTCAATGACCAGTTAATTATCACCTTTTTTTATCTATGCAGGTGTGAAAAAACTTGTTAGTGTGTACTAATTTTTTATTGGCAATTAAATTATTGCTCTTTCATTAAAATTGTGCCTTTCCCTGTATAGGTATGATTTTTCTAAATATTTTTTTTACTCTTTGATGTTGATTTAACAGTTTGTAAATTATTTGTATAATCTCTTATATTACACAAATGTTATATTGAAATTAAAAAATAAAATGTGAAAATGTGTACTGTATATTATATATATTTTAATTCATCAAATGTTGCCCAATAATTGGTAAGTGGTGGGGTTTTGTCCACTCTGTAAAATTTAGTGGTGGGGTTATGTCCACTCTATAAAATTTAGTGGTGGGGTTTTGTCCACTCTATAAAATTTTGAGTGGTGGGGTTTTAACTGGTGGGGTTTTGTCCGTCTTCCATTTTTAATGTGTTGTGTTGTTTTTTAAATATAAAATGTCTAAAAGAATTGGGAAATTTTTGTAAAATGATTCCTGCTTTGCTAAATATTTTGATATTTGTTTTGGATATTTATTATATGCAATAATAGTAATACTTTATTCGATTAATTACATATTTCAAAAGCCAATTAAAAAGATATATTTTAGACAATGTGTTGTTTTAGTTTCTGATTTTCTGAATTTGCATAATAAAATTACTTAAGACATTTATTGCTAAAAGAAATTAAAATATGACTTAGACAAAAGTGTTATTAAGTAAATACAAAATGTTTGAACAAAGTCATAGTTCAAACACATCATACTTATCAATTAAAGTATAAAACCTCTGAAAACCGGAATCCTTTGAAAACCGGACTTTTGGTCCAGTCCGGAGAGGGTCCGGTTTTCAGAGTTTTTACTGTAGTAACATTTTGGGAACAATAACAGGAAACCAAAAGTGAAAAGCTTTCGAGAAATAAAAAAAGAGTACAATTCTGAGCATAATAGGTCTGAAATATGAACAAGAAAGGCAAATTTTAATAGCACAAACAATGGTTGATTATTTCAAACGATTTGCCCCTCTCTGCTGTGGGTTCAAAGCTTGCCAGGGACTCTGGATTCTTTCATGTGAGGAAGCTATCCAGCTAGCTTATCCTGAATGTGTTGGTTCTACTTTGGTGCCGTTCAAGCCTGAAATAATGAAGGGTGCCTGAGGTCTTCCTCTTATAAAACTAGAATATTGTCTTATGATTTTTTATACAGTGTTAGTGAGATATAACACCAAAACTTTAAAAAATATTCTTATTTACTGTTCAATATGCTTAAAAGGCAAATCTCGTTCAATTTTTTTGCCAAATAACTAGTCTCCCATTAATTATATAAAAAACAATATTATTTCAGTTTTGAGTTGCAGTTAGTGATTGATTGAAAATGAAAATTTGAAGACATCATAGACGATTATTTACAAAACATGAATTCACATAATGGCAAAAACCTTGAAATAATGATGCAAAACATTCAAAATTGTGCTTTGAATTTTCAATCATGGCTTCAAGGTTTTACTTTTTATACAATCAATTGTAGTTATCTATTTAATTACATAATCTAGTAAGCTATCTAATAGAATTGAGATTGTTGTACTTTTTAGTACTTTTATATTGATTGATTTCCTGCAGCAAATGTAAAATTGGGGGAATATGTCAGCAGTTATTGAGCAAAGTCATGAAAACTTAATAGCAATCCAAATGGTGAAGCTGTGCATCTTTTATTTGATCATGTGTGTGAAGCTTAGATATAGGCTATGACTTTTCTTGTGTACTTAAAGGGAGACACAGGCAAAATTTTAATTTCTTAGTTTGGAATTTTTCATTCATTATTTTGTTAATGTCCTCAAAATAAATACATTAGACAGTCAAAGGAACAAAACTTTTCTCCATATAAAAAATAAATTGGCGGTTTCCTAACTTGACCCGCGTGGGTCAGGTTAGAGCGTTACGATTACACAACAGTTGTCACAGTAAACTCTGGAAACGTTAAAGAACATATCAAATGATTGACTATGACTTGTTTCTATCATACAATATTCACAATATCTGTTAATGTAACTTCCAGGATTGTTCAAGTCACATGACTTGTTTTAAAGCTATTCGGTGATTCTGGTAAATTTAGTTTAATATATATATAGATATATTTTCGCTTCAAACCCAAAATATATGAAATTTATACAGAAATTCATACTGGGACTTTAAAAATGTCATTTTAGCGTGATTTGAGTACATAAGATCATTTTAATATTTTTGTCATTATTTTGCCTGAGTATCCCTTTAATGAAGAGTTGTGTAACTCCTGTGTTGTGGATGAAGGTTTTGGTTGACTAATGAATCTGTTGTTCTTACTAAACCAGAGTAATTCAAACAATATCCTGAGCCAAAACATTTGATGTAACAAAATTTCTATGTTTATATGTTTATTTCAAGTTTATACAATTAACATGAAATATAGGCATAATAATATCAATATGTTTATCTTTTTTTTTCAGTTTTTTGCTGCGATGATAGCTTGTTTCTTCACCAATTTTTTGCTCAGTGCATTTCATGGAACCCCGAACCAGCTGTCAGCTCCTGGTCTTGTTAGATTTAATGTCTTCCCAGTAAGTGATTAATGACTTCTATAAATTCATGTATTATATAGCAGTGGTGTTGAATTCTGTATATGCATTGTTCAAGTAACTGACTTTAAATCACCCCTGTATGAATGAATCCAGTTAAACATGTTTAAGTCAGTCATGTGAGAAAGCTATCTGGTTACGTTACAGAATGTCTTCAGATTTATAATAATAGTGTAGGTATCATTCAAACATTAAAAGCCGAGGATATTAAATAATATTGGTAGAAATAATATCTGCACCTTACAGGGAAGATTACATTTAAACATTCACTGTTAATTATAAAACTTTAATACTGAAGATGATGAAACTCTGCCAGAATTCTCTTGTGAAAGAAAGCTGTAGATTTTGTGAATGAAAGATCTATGGTTTTACTAAGGTACTGGATAAAATAATGAATAGGTGGGAATCCTGAAGTCATCCATCACAAACAAAGCTGACAGGCCTCAACTCATTAAAGTTAAATACAGTGTATCAGTGTAACTTTAAAGTACAATGAAAAACAATCTACTTTAAAGTACAATGAAAAACAATCTACATAGTGAGCAGAGTGATTTATAATTTTACCATGAAAGTAGGGAGGATCAATTCTTCCAAAACCTTTTTTTTAAGTTTCAATACAATCTATGAAAAGCTTGCAGTACAGAAAGTAGAGTATGAATACTTCCAAACCTTTACTATTTAAGTTTTTCTTTTTTAATCCCATATGTGTAAGTGTATTGTGAGCCACTTACCTCTCACCTTTGTTTGTTCAGACCGCACAAGAGACCTTGAATTCTTTCATGTGAGGAAGTTATCCAGCTAGTTAACGGTGTCTGCTTGTGCCTGAAATAAAGCACGGAGGGAAACCTGAGGTTGTCCTCCACCAGTAAAGCTGGAAAGTTGCCATATTACCTCTACTGTGTTCATGAGACTTAAACCCTACCAAAAAAAGTTTATTTATTGGCGTCCGCGCCGAAGCGCGGCGCTCTTATGGAATGAGATCAGATTTTGTGAAAGGGCGACAGCAACTTCTCGAGCCTTTTAGTCGGTCATAATAAAAGCCGAAAATTCCGATCGGTATGAGGGTGCTTGATTATTAAATAAGAATGAAATGTCGCGATATGTTACAATGAATTTTCGCAATGCAAACATTTACAAATGAAATAACCTTTTCCGTCAATAAATCGCGCTCTTCGGGGTTTTTTATTTATATTTTGTAGTACACAGATCGGTTATCATGTCATGGTTATGTTATTGTTGTACATGTATCCTAGAATGATCAGTTGTTGACCTAAATATTCCAAAAACCTATTTATAGATATATCTTTTTATCACTCCTATCGGTAAATGCCGGTCTCTCCCGGTCTATTTTGACCAGGATTACTAGTGACCGGCGAATAGTACCACACGTTTATTGTCCGGTCTCTCCCGGTTTTGGAGTAGATGTTTGATATCGTTACAATTAGAAAAAAAACAACAATAGCATGTTTCATTTTATCTATATGAGATAAAAACAAATAAATATGTACACGGATTTTATATGTAATATAAATCCGTGATATGTACAATAATTGAGAAAAAGGTACATTTTTTATGGTATCAAAAATGACATTATCAACTTTGAAACATTTATTTAATTATTCAATTTGTTTATCCGTGTTTAGTAAAGATGCCGAGGAATTATTCAAAGTTACAAATTAGATTTTATGAATTATTCAATTGATCGATAATTTAAAAAATGATAAAGAAAAATACAATGTACATGTACATGGTTTAAGAATAAACAATATTTTATATATTGAAAGATAAACCATAATTTACTGACTTTTTCCAGTTAAGCTTTGACTTATAATCGTCGGTCAATATGACAATTGAATTCTTAAAATTTATTTTACAATTTTAATAAAAAAGAGTAGTAAAAACTCAGTATTAAAATAGCACACATAAACACAAAAAAGAAAACAATATTCATAAAATTTGTATTTTTTTAAATTAAAATTAATAGATATTACAATTATTGTATAATAAACAATTATGCTCAACATGATCAACATGGTAATATAACCAGTGTCATATTTTTACTAACTTAAAGTGTGAACAGATACCTTAAGGGGTCTTCGCTAATAGCGATAACATGTACATAATAAGGGACAAATGTGTGGTACGTGTTGATCATGCGTGACACATATGGATTATAAATGATTGCATACATGTATATCCGTTGCTATTAATAACCACGATCATAAAGAAATAACAAGTAATATTCTAATCTCTAGCATGCCAATCAAAGTTCATAATGAACAATGTCTTTCGTCCGCTCATTCATAAGTGGTATACATTTCTGGTAGTTTATAAGAATATCTTGTCATCATATGTGTACTAGTTCATCTTCACTTGCTGCATTTCTTGCTTGGACGCCCTTTGATGCTTTGCATCAATGCTTTTCTTGTTATGTTGTAAATTCAGGATTTCCTTAAGTAAAAGAATATTGATTTCCTTCATCAGTTCAGTTTTTATCAAATTTTGTCTTGTATTATCATATTTGAATGGAAGTTTTCTGTTATATTTTAGAATTTAAAGTTTGACTTGATAGAGATTCCTGTATTCCTAGTGATGGCTGTGGTTGGTAAGAAGATTTCTATGTAATGATTTGATTAATGACTTAAATCTACGCAAAAAAAAAATGTATATTGAAAGCATTTACATTTATTGAATTTACAGTCGACTCTTGTTATCTTGAAGTTATCGGGACCGTCCAAAAAATATCGAGATAACGAAATGTCGAGATAAACATATTAGGGTTTGAATAAGGCAGAAACTTATTTTTACAAAATATATGTGCATACCTTATGTCAAAAAAAACTATGATATCGCTATGTTTTGTTTTCATAGGCCTAGTCAATATTTAACAAAGTAACATTAGCAGATGTTTACCAGCGGAAATACAGGTGTCTGTGATAAAAACACATAGTGAGGTTTACTCAGTAATACGCCAATATAGTGAAAAACATTGTTTTCAGAGTGGTTGATCCAGATATCCTCCCGAGTTAGTTGTCGGGCTCTTCTCGATTGTCGACCGCTGATTAATTTGGTGATGATGTTAGGAAACAATGATGCAACAATAGCGTTTCTATACTTTCACTTATTCATTTACATTTAAAGTCATAAATGAATTGAATACAGTGTTCGAATATTTATAAAAGAACGTAAAATTCACTCATTTTGTAGCATAAGTCAAATACAACACGCTAAATAATTAACTTTTATAAAAGCTGCTAAACCTGTTATAAACATAATCATCATTATGACAAGCACTATTGAGCAATTATCGTTCTAGTTTGTGGGTTTTTCACCACGTCTGCAAAGGAAAACTATCAAAGTCGAGATAAACAAAGGATATAGTGTGAAAATAACTGTTGGGGCTGAAATTTTACATCGAGATACTGAAAATATCGAAATAAAAATATCGAGATAAACAAATACTTTCAATATAGATAAAGAAGGAAGAAAATCGGGACTTTCAAAATTTCATCGAGATAACGAAATATCGAGAAAAGCGATGTCGAGATAACGATAGTTGACTGTATTAAATAATTATAAATTATAAGAAATGACAAAGAGATGTAATATATTTTTTTAAATCAAAAATATGTTAGACTGGTTTACAACATGAACTATTGATGAGAGAAATAAGATGTCCCTGTTATTTTGTTCTGAACGAATTTTATAAAACAGTATATAGTGTATCTAAGTTCAATAATGGAAAAAAAAAACAACACACAACATAACTAAGACAGTTTGAAAACATGTTGACTTGTGTATTACAGGTGGTCTTATTGGTGCTGCTTTTGTTGTGCTCAACTACAAATTGACTGTGTTTAGATATAGGTAGGTTATATGTCTTTTTAATACTTCAAATGTTCATTTCTTGATCAGGACTTTGTAATGCACAATTACAGATTGATATATGTTTAGATATTGATCAGTGCATTATCTAGCTTTTCTACATATAAAAATGTTTAAATACTGTTCTGTGTACCGTACTTGAGGTGCTAAGGTACAGATGGACTTGTGTTTAGGTACTGACTTACCTGGAATAAATTATTGCGCATGAGCATTCAAACTGGAATTCCCCAGGTGTTGCTTACTTTAAAATGTAGAAAGTACTATGAATTGTCTTTAAATATTTACATGTTTAAATATTGGAATGTACATTTTACAACCACTGAAATGTTTATCTTGATGATGTTAATCACAATAGTTATCACAAACTATATATTGGGGGCTTCAGACAATCAGGAAGGTATTGACACTTATTCAATTATTTGTTTCTATTGGTATATATCTTTCAGTACATTGAATAATGAATGGTTGATACCATTATAAGAATATTTTTAAGCAACAGTTTCATATGACTCATGTAGTGCTTATTCTACATAAACAGACAGCAATAACTTGCAATATAAATATTAAGCCAGCGTCAGGCTATCTCTATATAACTATGGTCCTAATTGCTTTATATAAAAATAACAAATTATATTTTTGCTAGATATATCAAACTGAAATGGTTGAAGGTTGCAGAAGCAGGTCTTGTAGCTGCTGTGACAGGACTTGCATCTTTTCTTATGATCATCAGTATCAACTCATGTACCAATAAAACACCTTATGATGAAAGTTCCATAGTTTCACAGGTAAATATAGAGTAAATTCATGTACCAATAAAATACCTTATGATGAAAGTTCCATAGTTTCACAGGTAAATATAGAGTAAATTCATGTACCAATAAAACACCTTATGATGAAAGTTCCATAGTTTTACAGGTAAATATAGAGTTTATTCATGCACCAATAAAACACCTTATGATGAAAGTTCCATAGTTTCACAGGTAAATATAGAGTAAATTCATGTACCAATAAAACATCTTATGATGAAAGTTCCATAGTTTCACAGGTAAATATAGAGTAAATTCATGCACCAATAAAACACCTTATGATGAAAGTTCCATAGTTTCACAGGTAAATATAGAGTTTATTCATGCACCAATAAAAAATCTTATGATGAAAGTTCCATAGTTTCACTGGTAAATATACCGCCTCCGTGGTCGAGGGGTTAGAGTCGATGACTTCTAATCCAGTTACCTCTCTGGCGTGTGTTCGATCCCCGGGAGATGCTTTGGTAGTTTAGCACGGAGGAAGGTAGTCTTGTACTGGTGTAACTCTCCAGGAACGATGGTTAGAACTACCCGCCTATATGACTGAAATACTGTTGGGAAAAGGCGTAAAATGATGAAACAAACAAACAAAACACTGGTAAATATAGAGTTTATTCATGCACCAATAAAACATCTTATGATGAAAGTTCCATAGTTTCACAGGTAAATATAGAGTAAATTCATGTACCAATAAAACACCTTATGATGAAAGCTCCATAGTTTTACAGGTAAATATAGAGTTTATTCATGTACCAATAAAACATCTTATGATGAAAGTTCCATAGTTTTACAGGTAAATATAGAGTTTATTCATGTACCAGTAAAACATCTTATGATGAAATTTCTAAGTTTCACGTGTAAATATTGAGTAAATTCATGTACAAATAAAACACCTTATGATGAAAGTTCCATAGTTTCACAGGTAAATATAGAATAAATTCATGTACCAATAAAACACCTTATGATGAAAGTTCCATAGTTTCACAGGTAAATATAGAATAAATTCATGTACCAATAAAACACCTTATGATGAAAGTTCCATAGTTTCACAGGTAAATATAGAGTAAATTCATGTACCAATAAAACATCTTATGATGAAAGTTCCATCGTTAAACAGGTAAATATAGAATAAATTCATGTACCAATAAAACACCTTATGATGAAAGTTCCATAGTTTCTCAGGTAATTATAGAGTTTATTCATGTACCAATAAAAAACATCATATGACGAAAGTTCCATAGTTTCAGAGGTAAATATAGAGTTTATTCATGCACCAATAAAACACCTTATGATTAAAGTTCCAAAGTTTCTCTGGTAATTATAGAGTTTATTCATGTACCAATAAAACACCTTATGATTAAAGTTCCATAGTTTCTCTGGTAAATATTGAGTTTATTCATGCACCAATAAAACACCTTATGATTAAAGTTCCATAGTTTCTCTGGTAATTATAGAGTTTATTCATGCACCAATAAAACACCTTATGATGAAAGTTCCATAGTTTCTCTGGTAATTATAGAGTTTATTCATGCACCAATAAAACACCTTATGATTAAAGTTCCATAGTTTCTCTGGTAATTATAGAGTTTATTCATGTACAAATAAAACACCTTATGATGAAAGTTCCATAGTTTCTCTGGTAAATATAGAGTTTATTCATGTACCAGTAAAACACCTTATGATGAAAGTTCCATAGTTAAACAGGTAAATATAGAGTTTATTCATGTACCAGTAAAACACCTTATGATGAAAGTTCCATAGTTTCACAGGTAAATATAGAGTTTATTCATGTACCAGTTAACATTGTATGATAAAAGCTGTAGAGTTTCACAGGATATATATAGAATAAACTTTTGTACCAGAAAATTGCTTACAATAAAAACAACATAGTTTCACTGTAAATGTAGATCCAATTTTTAAATGAACCAATAAACACCTTATAAAAAAAGCTGTAGTGTTCATAGTTTAATGTAAATTAGACTAGGGTTACTAGTGAAACCATGTATGATGAAAGCTAGTTTTAAATGTAGTATGAAACTGGGGGAACCTGAGTGCTAATCCCTAATGATGAAAGTTCCATCATATAAACAACCTTGGTTTGGTCCATTACATGTGTCGTAAAAGGTTAATTTTAGTTAGACAAAATATAAATAAAATCACTCACCTTTTTACACGATTTAAATATCCTCACCAAAATAAATCAGAGGTGTCTTTTCTTAAGGCAATAAACAATTATTCTAAGATCTTATATAACAGTTTATCGACTATGAAATTACAGATTTCCCTTTCTGTTTGGAGATTTTAATCTACAATGTTTGTACTTTATAAATTCATACATTAAAGATTTATACATCATTTTAGATGCATTGTCCTGAGGGTGAAAGACATTCCTTATCAACAATATTCCTAGCTACCCCTGAAGGTTGCCTCAAGGCTTTGTTACATGATCCATTTGGTAAGATTGCTGGTTTACTTTTACTATTAATACATATGTAACATAGCTTTACTAATGATTATTTCATTTAATGCAATAGTGGCTGAGTCAGTTATTAACATTAAGTCTTGGTCAGTTCAGTGTGGAAATGACAATCTAAGAGAGTAAACAGTTAAGTTTTGCACTTATATTCTTAGAATTTAGTGTATTATTATTATATGATGGTTGGAAAATCTTCATTGCAGTCCACTTGGATTTGATTTAATTAATATTATTTTGATAATGTTAATTTTGAAGTTATCTCCTAACATTTAATTTCTTTCACAAATATCCCCTTCTTTTGATTAAAATTTTCATTTTCAATACTATATTCCTAGAAAAGATTTCGCGCAATTTAAGTTAGCGCTTTTTCGCAGTAGGCATGATTCCGCGAATCTTTATAGCCGCGAAAATGTCACATATAACAAAGTCGCGAACATTTCTAGCTTCAACCAAATAAAAACATAAACATGCAGAATATTTATTATAATCTACTTACACAAAAAACATATTAACACAGGTTCTATAGAAATGTGTAAAGAATTATGTATGTATGTTACAGATACCAATTTGAACCCTGAAAAAAATGTCAATTATTAGTAATTATGCTTATTGACTATTTGCTAGTTACGGCGTATACAAAAGCATTTACAGTTTGCGTACATTGAATGACTTTGATTATTTTTTGCTTGAAGAAAATGTAATCCTTTGTTAACAGTACAATAGCGATCAAGTGCTACATTATGTTATATACAGCTGTTTTGTTGTTATAATGAAAGCGATGTACAGTCCGATACTGTGAAAACAATAACATATCGACATTTTGAAGATAAAGTCAGTTTTGATTTAAATGAAAAGAAAAGCTAACTGGTCTGACTAAATCTTACTTAATCAGATAGTGAAAAAGGTAAGGAAATAAGTAAAAAGTGTTCACTGAATAACTGTCCGTGTTTGACTAGTCAAATGATAAAAAAGGTATCGAGTAATGTAGCGCTTTAGGCGCGACTTGTCAAAAAAAAAAGTGAAAGAATTAAAGTACCCAACAGGCAAGGTCATACACCAAAAATGTAGTCTCCAAAAACTGTAATTTAGACAGTAGCGACTTAGTATTCGCGGAATTTGTGGTGACTACACAAATCCGCGAAAATTTGTCTCGGCGAAAACGCGACGTTGTGAAACATGAAATATTGTATCCGCGAACATTTCTAGGAATACAGTACATTGTAAATTTAAAAGTATTTTGATATCACTTTACTGAGAAAGTGCAGTCAACAGTCTAGTCATACTGTATTCTTTACATTTATTGCAAGAGTTCTGCCATTTTATTACCTCTGATACTTCAAAGGTCTATCAACCACAATAAAATATTTCCATCTGTATTTTTTGTCTTGCATATATTTATTCCTGCAATAAACTGTATCATAAAACAAATTATGTGATGTATCAAGAGAAGGCAGAGTGAAGGTATTGCACTTCAATAAATTGTTTAGGTTAAAAGTAGTAGGACTTGTGCCAGTAAATTTCAGACAATTGTAGCTTTTTAGCTCACCTGTGCATTATGTGCTCAGAAATGAGATTTTGTTATGGCAATATGTCGGTTGTTCATTGTCTTTCATTATCCACAACATCTGGAGGTCACTTGATTTATATAGACTTGTAAAAAAAAATACATTTGAGTGTCCTTGTGTGAAACTAAATTGCCCAGTTCTTAGATATTTTGCATGTGGCATTGTCTAGATGACTAATAGAAGAGGGTGTATAAATCATGCCCTGGGGTCAAATATGGTCACTTATTTTACACCCTAGTTACACAGTCGTTGGTGATTGATTGGTAGTTTATTTAGACAAATTATTGAGTGAACTGATGACAACATATCTAACACTGATATCACCTATAGGTCACCTGTTTTCCACTGATCAACTGCAGGGGGTCACTTCATATAGACTTATAATATTGTAAACATCATGACAAAATCATAAAATCGCCTTCTCTTAAACTATAATATCAGAACTATAGCTATTTAACATGATGCATTATCTTGTTGACCTCTACAAAAGCTGTTTAAACAATACTCCTGCATTAAAATTTGGACCTGCCTTTCGGGTCAATTAGTTTCTACAGGAAAACACATTCTAAACTCTTTTTGTTGAAAATTACAGTGCCTACAGCTATGTAGCATAACCTTGTAATCTTCTACAAAAATTTCGTAGAGCATGCACTAAGATAAGAATTGGCCCCGTGGTCACTTAGTTTTGATAGAGTAAATACAATTAAATCTTGTGAAAAAAAAATCTACAATGCCCAGAGTTAAGATTTTGACATTTTTTTTTAATTCTATTTAATTACCAACTTGTGCATTTAAGAAATGTGTTTATTTCTAGCAATGAATCTCATGAGAGCAATCTGGAGCCACCATGGCATTCTTGTTTTTTGTTTATTTAAAATTTGAAAAGTGATAAAACATAGTTACACTTCTTTGTCTGGTTTTAAGTTTTTCCTCCCTGGCATAAAGTTTCTCTCAAGAATTAAAGTTCCAAGTTTTTATCATTTTAATTTGTAAACATTTCTGCTATAGCGTCTGCACTGTCAGACACAAGTTGTTCTTTATGAGAGATTCGTTTCCCCAGATCAATGCTTGAACTGTATATTTATTGTACTGTACTATTGTTTTATAACAGAGGAAATCTTTGTTTGAATCAAATAACAATTGTTTGAATCAAATTACAAACTGCATTGAATTATTTATATACATGTATCAATTTATTTCAAATAACTTTTTCAGCACAAAAATTGAGTACTTTGATATAAAAAATATATCTGCCTTCTCAGTATAATTATCATAATTATAGAGGTATCATAGTGAAAATAATGTTTTATTTTTCCAGGTTCATTTAGTGCTTTAACGCTGGTGATATTTGTTGTTGTATTTTTCTTCCTGGCTGTATGGACGTACGGTCTGAGTGTATCCAGTGGTGTTTTCATACCATCGTTAGTTATCGGCGCCACCTGGGGACGACTGTTTGGTATTGCGGTTGTCAACTTGTTTCCAGGGGACAGGGAGCATTATGTAAATATCTTTAGCTCTTACTTACTGCACACCTGAGTTAAGGAAGCCAATCAAAAATCAGCTAGTATTACAAAGATTTTATTTCATTATTATTTCAAACTTTATTCCAAGTATAATTGTAATTCCAAAAATACATTTTAATAGAAAGAAAAACAATTTCCAAATAAAGAAACATGATGCGTATTTGAACCAACGCTTAAATTATTTAAATACTTTAAATATCAGTACACTTATAATTAAGAATAGTCATCTAGGTCTCCTTAATTTGCATCACTATTTTTATATGAATTTTGATATAATCGTTATTTGTACATTTTAATTTGATTTTGACAACTACTTCTTTTTATGCCACCGCAGCATCTGCGATGCGGTGGCATATAGCGATTCACCTGTTTGTATGTATGTTTGTGTGTTATATAGATTATATAGTGAACTTAAAAAATCTTCTTGTGAAAAACCACTAGTCCAATTTCAACCAAACTTGGCAGGATTGATCTTTGGGTGAAGGGCTTCCAAAGTTGTTCAAAGAATTTCATTCCATGCAGAAATCTGGTTGCCATGGCAACCAAAAGGAATTATAAGAATAAAATTAAAAAATCTTCTTGTAAAGACCCAAAAGGCCTAGAGCTTAGATATTTTGCATAAGACCTCTACCAAGATTGTTCAAATTATAGCCCTAGGGTCAAAATCGGCCCTTCCCCGGGGTCATTGATTTTCACTATATGTACATATAGTAAAAACCTAAAATACCTTCTTGTAAAGACCCAAATAGCCTAGAGCTTAAATATTTTGCATAAGGCATTGTGTGGTAGACCTCTACCGAGATTGTTCAAATTATAGCCCTGGGGTCAAAATCGGCCCTGCCCCGGGGGTCATTGATTTTCACTATATGTATATAGTAAAAACTTATAGTAAAAACTTTAAAAAAATTTCTTCTAGCAATTGACAAATGCTAGAGGTTAGATATTTTGCATGAAACATTGTGTAGTGAACCTCTAGCAAGATTGTTAAAATTATAGCCCTGGGGTCAAAATTGCCCCGGCCCCGGGGGTCATTGATTTTCAATATATACATATAGTAAAAAATAAAAAAATCTTATTGTCTGAAATTAGGTACAAGGCTTCAAAAATTTAAACTACCTTCTTGTAAAGACCCAAAAGGCCTAGAGCTTCGGTATTAATGCGGTGGCATAGCATTTTTCTCAAATGCAATCTTGTTTTTTATTTATTCGATGGAAACTAGAATTAGAAATGTAATGTGTAGAATAATTACTTTAGCTATTCTCTTTCATAACATGCATCCTATTTTATACTTTACTAGCCAATTTTCCTTCGGTATAACTTTTTTTCTGAAATTATGTTGTCTCTGTTTTTAGTGAAAGGAGCCTTTTAGTCGTGATGATTAAATCAAACCAAGTGTGTAATCTTAATTTTCCCAAATAAATTTTTATCATGATAAAAAATGCTTTAGATAAAAGTTTAAGTTTGAAATGTCAGTTACACATGTACTTGATAGTTGTGCACTATCTGAAATTAATTTTCTTCATAGGCAGTTATATATATATATATATTTTTTTGTGCTTAATAAGTTTTGTTATTTCCATGAATTGGTGTTTAAAACCACCTTTTATTTAAATCATATTGTATTGAGAGCCACTTTTTAAGGCCATATATGGCCATAATTTGTCACTATTTGTCAGTATTTTCAATTTCACTTTCAGTCAATTATAAAATTACTTGACTGTAAAAATGAACAATCTACAAGATTCACGGTGCATATCCATATCGGTACCCTCTTTGCGAAATCTGCTGAAACGGTACCCTCTCTGAACATGCACAGGTCATTCTCTGCTAAAAACAAACCAGCGATGGATACCAATCCAGTAAAATTTCATTGTAATAAGGAAAGGAGGTATGTAACGTAGAAAAGATGTATACCACGGAACACTAGGATGTTTAATTGATGTGCTGATTTGTCATGTCCCCGATTTTCATGTACTGCAACTTAACAATAAGCTACAAAAAATCGACATGTCTTGCTTCGCCCATCACCTCGACATATTTTTCGGGCTGAAATGAACCTATGGCTTGATTATATATGCATCAAACATATTTAATATGTTCATATACATATCATCTTCGGACAAATGGCAGTATATTGTCAAAAATAAATGTAAAATTCATAAAAACACCCTACTTTCGGTTTTGCAGCGGCACGGGCTACCTCTCTTCATTTGAATTTTTATATTACAGGTACCCTCTCATTTTTTAACACATGGGTACCCTCAAAGCACGACATATGCTTTTATTTGCGTTAATCGTTAAGTATGTAATATTTACATAAAAGTAAAAAGTATTACATACACACTTAACGGATAACGCAAATAAAAGTATATGTCGTGATTTGAGGGTTCCTATGTGTTCAATAATGAGAGGGTACCTGTGATATAAAAATTCAAATGAAGAGAGGTAGCCCGTGCCGCTGCAAAACCGAAAGTAGGGTGTTTTTATGAATCTTATATTTATTTTTGACAATATACTGCCATTTGTCCGAAGATGATATGTAAATGAACATATTAAATATGTTTGATGCATATATAATCAAGCCATAGGTTCATTTCAGCCCGAAAAATATGTCGAGGTGATGGGCGAAGCAAGACATGTCGATTTTTTGTAGCTTATTGTGAAGTTGCAGTACATAAAAATCGGGCACATGACAAATCAGCACATAAATAAAACATCCTAGTGTTCCATGGTATACATCTTTTCTACGTGACATACCTCCTTTCCTTATTACAATGAAATTTTACTGGATTGGTATCCGTCGCTGGTTTGTTTTTAGCAGAGAATGACCTGTGCATGTTCAGAGAGGGTACCGTTTCAGCAGATTTCGCAAAGAGGGTACCGATATGGATATGCACCGTGAGATTAACACTGTTTACTTAATACTGTAATTATCTTTAGGGGCTTAGATTTCTCCCTCTGAAGTTAATACTATTATTGTAAGAGTTTCAATTGAATAAAAAATTTGCATAGAATTAATGGATGATATATCAAATTTATTAATTATCAGTTTTAGTCTTTGAAAAAAAAAGTTTTAGTTTACAATGATATTATCAGCAAGTTTCTTTAGAAATAATATTATCTGAAATATCCTTGAAATGTAGGAGACACAATTCTGTAAATAATGTTTACATAATAAAAGATGCAGAATCAAAAGAAGTGTAAATTAAGGTTTGAAATCAGAGTTTATCAAACAACTGATACAACTTGTAACAAGCTAATAATCCTGGCTTCTGATGTTTACAATACTCTTATGTCTAGACAGATAGATTAAAGAAAAGTTTATTTAATGTAATTTAAATATTTGTCTGAAGTTCAGATAGTTCTCTTAAAAATAATACTCAGAAGTTAATAAAGAAATTTAATTTTCAACAAATGAAGTCAGCAAATACATGTATACAGACAGACATTTTGTATCCACTTCACTAAAAGAATGCAAATAAATATATATAAAAAAGGGAGATCTTGCAAAGGCATTTCTTTCAGCTCACCTGAGCACAAAGTGTTGAAACATGAGCTTTTATCAACTGAGCATTTATTAAACAGCATCTCCTCATCTTAAATGTTGATTTTTACCAAACTTCACAAGAATAATCCTTAGTTGATCTTGTACCAATGTGATAAAATGGTTCCATTATGATGCATAAAGCTAAAAATTATTTGGGCCCACCCCAGGGGTCTCTTAGTTTATTTAGACTTGTATAGGAAAAGGCATTTTAATCTTTTTATGTGAAACAATTGGCATTTAGCATTGCGTGGTGGATTTGGACAATGGTTGTCTGAATCATGCCCCTCCCCCGGGTCACTTATTAGATTGACTATTATATCACACAGACTTTAAAAACCTTTCTCTAGAGCTTAGATGTTTGGTCTGTAGCAACACTTTGTGGTCCTAAACAAAAGTTTTATTTATCATAGTTTTTTTTAATCCTTTGTTTTTCATGTGTCAATAAGTGATGCCCCTTTTAAAATCTGATAATGATCCTTTTAAATAATGATCCTTTTAAAACCTTGTATTCCATTTTCAGTTTAGTAATGATCCTTTTAAAACCTTGATTTTTCATGTGTCTGATAAATAATGCTCCTTTTAAAACCTTGATTTTTACATGTGTCAGATAAATAATGCTCCTTTTAAAACCTTGATTTTTACATGTGTCAGATAAATAATGCTCCTTTTAAAACCTTGATGTTTACATGTGTCAGATAAATAATGATCCTTTTAAAACCTTGATTTTTCATGTGTCTGATAAATAATGCTCCTTTTAAAACCATGATTTTTACATGTGTCAGATAAATAATGATCCTTTTAAAACCATGATTTTTACATGTGTCAGATAAATAATGATCCTTTTAAAACCATGATTTTTACATGTGTCAGATAAATAATGATCCTTTTAAAACCATGATTTTTACATGTGTCAGATAAATAATGATCCTTTTAAAACCATGATTTTTACATGTGTCAGATAAATAATGATCCTTTTAAAACCATGATTTTTACATGTGTCAGATAAATAATGATCCTTTTAAAACCTTGAATTTTCCCTGTGTCAGTTTAGTAATGTCCCTTTTAAAACCTTGATATTTTTTATCAGCATGAGGGTTGTTTTAAAGTTAAAAGACTGTTGTTGAGTTTGACCCCCTGCTACTAAAATTTCTTAAAGTCTTCTAGATTATATTATAAACTGAGGTCCAAGAACTTATGCTTTTAACTTTTCATTCTGAAGAAAAAATTGTTACTCATGAAAGAGAGTATTGCTATATTCTAGCATTAATACTTGTAAATATTAAGACTCTTTATTTTTCATAATCAGTATGGGATACAAATGGCTAGAAGGAAAGCTTTAGATCTCCTGCACTGCTATATTTAACAGTTTTGATAATAATACTTTAAGAACTTTCTTGTTTACAGATATTTGTATTGATTGATTGGTTTAA